ATTTTCTTCTTGTTATGTTTGTTATGTTGGTTAGAGGTGTTTAGCACGTGTCATTTTCTTTTGATTGTTATAGGCTGGAGCTCCCTTTATAAACCCTGTACTGTTCCTTTTTTCAATTGCTTTAATGAAGAATCTGTTTCCTTTCATTTCACTCCTTCATCTTCTCTGCGTATCAATGAACTCCAACATGGTATCAGAGCAAGGATAACAGATCTTTTCTCTCTTCTTCTCTCAAATCTGTCGTTGAGCTCACCCCACAACAAAATGGTGTGGTGGAAAGAAAACACCAACACCTCCTTGAAACTTCTAGAGCTCTCTTTATCCAGTCCAATGTCCCTCATAAATTCTGGGGTGAGTGTATTCTTACATCAACCTACTTGATTAATAGATTTCCCTCAAAACTTTTACAAGGCAAGTCCCCTTATGAAATCCTTTTTGGCAAAGCACCAAGATATGATCATATGAGAGTTTTTGGATGCTTATGCTATACTTCCACTTCGAAACAAGGAAGGGATAAGTTTGATGATAGAGCTGCTGCATGCGTTTTCCTTGGATATCCTTATGGCAAAAAGGCCTACAAGGTTTACAATCTCACCACACATAAAGTGGAGACCTCTAGAGACATTCTTTTCCATGAATCCATCTTTCCATATCATAACAAACCACTTCAAGAACCTCCTTTCTTTTCCAATCCTGATCCTCTCTATTCTGTGGAGGATTCTTCTCTGTGTCAATACTTCTTCCCTACCTCCACTTCCACAAGGAATATCATTCCTACCTCCAGTTCCACAGAGTGTTCTATTCCCACTCCAAATACCAACTCTGGTCCTTGTCCCAATATGGTCCCCTCTTCATCATCCTCTTTAAGAAGATCCACAAGAGTTCATCAAACCCCTTCTCATCTTCAGGATTATGTTTGTCATACATCTTCCTGTTTCAATTCTTCATCTAGTTTCTGTACTCATACCCTTACTTCCACTCCCGTGTCCTCTCACATATGTTTAGGGGCTCTAACCCAAACAAGTCAGAAATTTTTGCATAGTGTTTCATATGTGTAGGAACCAAAGAGCTATGAAGAAGCCAGAGGTAACCCAGCCTGGCAGAAAGCTATGGACCTGGAATTCAAGGCACTAGAGGAGACTGGTACATGGGAGATTTGTGATTTGCCTAAAGGAAAGAAACCAATCAGCAGCAAATGGGTATATAAACTGAAATTTAAAGCTGATGGTTCCCTGGAAAGACACAAAGCAAGACTGGTCATACGTGGTTGCACTCAAAAAGAAGGGATAGACTATCATGAGACATTCTCTCCAGTGGTCAAAATGACCACTGTTAGAGCTTTAATAGCCATTGCAGTCAAGAATAATTGGTCTATCTTTCAACTTGACGTCAACAACGCGTTTCTACATGGAGATTTGGTTGAAAACATTTATATGAAGCCACCACCTGGGATGAAAATGTCTAATCCCTCTCAGGTTCTTAAGTTGCGCAAGTCGCTATATGGTCTTAAGCAAGCATCCAGACAATGGTATGCTAAGCTCTGTGAAGTCTTAAGATCTCAAGGATATGTTACCTCAAAGAATGACTATTCCTTGTTCACTAAGGTTACACCTAACTCAGTTGTCCACTTGGTTGTTTATGTGGATGACATTCTCATCACTGGAAATAATCTCCATGAGATAAATGCCTTGAAACAATACCTCAATGCTCTTTTTAAAATCAAGGATTTGGGTCCCCTGGGCTATTTTCTAGGTTTGGAAGCTGTCTACACTAGTCAAGGAGTGATCCTAACTCAACACAAATTCACAATGGATCTTCTTCAACAATTTCATTGTCCTCCTACAGCTCATGCCACATGCCCTTTGGAAACCAATATACAACTTCAAACTGGTGTTGGTTCCCCTCTTCCAGATCCTTCTTTGTATAGAACCCTAGTTGGGAAGCTTAATTTTCTTACACATACAAGGCCAGACATCGCTTTTTCAGTACAGTTTCTCAGCCAATTCATGCAAGATCCTCGGTTACCTCATTGGGAGGCTGCACAACACACTTTACGGTATCTCAATACCAAACCTTCTCAAGGCTTGTTTTTCAACAATTCTCCAGACCTCAAATTGGAAACTTATTGTGACTCTGACTGGGCTGCTTGTCCAAATACTCAAAGGTCTGTCAGTGGCTTCTTCATTCTGCTGGGTGGGTGTCCTATCTCTTGGAAATCTAAGAAACAGCCCACTGTATCTCTTAGTTCAGCAGAGGCTGAATACAGATCTATACGCAGAGTCACAGCTGAATTGGCTTGGTTGTCCAGACTTTTTGCTGAATTTCAAGTACCAGACATTGTTCCCATTCCAGTTAAATGTGACAGTCGTGCTGCTATCTACATTGCTACCAATCCAGTCTACCATGAACGCACAAAACACATCGAGTTGGACTGTCATTTTGTCAGAGAAAAGGTCCAAGCAGGGCTTATCACTCTCATTCATGTTCCTACTACTCAACAATTAGCAGATCTGTTTACTAAGAGTCTCCCAGGACCTTTGCATCATCAGATTCTGGGCAAGTTAGGGGTTCAAGCACCCTCTAACTTGAGGGGGGGTGTTGGAAATACAGAGCTAGTTTGAGTTAGTTTCAATTCTGTTAGAAGTTGGAAGTTGGTTAGCTAGATATTTTCTTCTTGTTATGTTTGTTATGTTGG